CACATATAACTAGCATATACATGATGGATAATCAATACATCCAAAATAGTTTATATCGTGTACACAATAATTACGGCATTACATCGGCGGTGACGGTTGACCGCACGTACTTTCTCCTCACTATTGTTCCCTCCTTGTGATCGCTGCGTGAGTAAGGGGTGTCTTCATTTGATAGGAGGATGCTAGGGTCAATCGTCACCGTGAAAGGGGGTTGCCCATCCAACTGATCGTAATCCTCGTCAGTCTTGTCCTCAACTCTGACGATTTTTCTTTTGCCTGGGAGAACCACTTGACGCTTAGACTCATCAGGCCCTCTGCCCTTCTTTCCTTTGCTAGACATGTCCTTCACGAAAAAGACTTGCGTTACATCATTGGCAAGGACAAAAGGTTCGTCCGAGTATCCAACCTTGTTAAGGTCAACAGTTGTCATCTCACTGTCATCAATCATTACGCCTCCACCAGTCAACCTAACCCATTGGCACCGGAACAGAGGAACCTTGAGAGGACCATAGTCAAGTTCCCATATGTCCTCGATGGCACCGTAATACGTGGCAGTTGTTCCATCGTGTCCCATGGCATCGACACGAACAGCGCTGTTTTGGTTCGTGCTCTTCATGTCTTGGGCTCTCGTGTAGAATGTGTACCCATTGATCTCATATCCCTGGAATGTCGCGATCGACCCAGACGGTCCCCTCGCCAGGAAGGCAAGTTGTTGGTTGATCGACTCGTTACCCATGAGATGTTGTCGTAGCCACGCGGGGAAAGTATCAATGTGATGCCGTGTAATCCATGCATCGGACTTACCGATGTTCCTGGCGCGAACTAGAGCCAAGTGCTCCTCGATGTAAGGAGCTACCAATGAAGAGTGTTGCAGAACAGTGAAATGGGCTTTACGGAATAAATTGTTGTCTACCGTCATTATTGCTTTCCTTCCGAGAGTTCCCTTTCCCCGTAGTCTCCCTTCATGGCGTGATTCAGGTACCCCGATTGGGCGAAGGTCTTCGATAAATTCTACGCAAAATTCGATGACCTCCTCTGTTCCATAACCCTTGGCGATGCTTGCCTCTGGACAAGCACGGTTATGAACATACTTCTTCAGAACGCCCATGTACCTCTCGAAAGGAAACATGTTGTGTAGGTACATAGGACCGAGAATACGGATCTCTTTCACAAGGTGACAAAGCAGATGCGTCATTATATTGAAAAATGAAGGTGGAAATATCAACTCAAAACTGACGAGACATTGCACCACTTCATTCTGAAGGGCTTCTAATCTATCCGGATCGATGACCTTCTGCGAAATTGCGTTCATGAATGCACATAGCTTTGTTATTGTTGCCCGGACATTGTCTGGAAGGATACCCCTTATTACAACTGGTAGCAGTTGTGTCATCAACACGTGACAGTCATGAGACTTTAGGTTTGTGAACTTCTTCTCCTTCGTGCTTATTATTCGCTTGATATTCGTGGAGTATCCAGACGGTACCTTTATGCTCTCCAAGCATTCAAACATACTTTCCTTCTCTGCCTTGCTAAGAGTGTAGCTGGCTGGACTCAAGTAATGGCTTCCTTTCTCCTTTGGTTCCGGGTGAAGGTCGCCGCGTTGTTCCATATGCTTCAGATCATTACGTGCTTCCAGGGTATCTTTCGACTTTCCGTATACACCTAGGAAGCCAAGAAGATTTACGCAAATGTTCTTAGTGAGGTGCATCACGTCAATTGCGTGGCGTACGTCCAAGAATTCCCAATATGGTAACTCCCAAAATATAGAGTTCTTTTTCCACATCGCCGCGTGACCATCTTCGCTCTCTATATGCTGGCTTCCAGGCCCCTTTCCGAACACTACTTTAAGATCTTTAACCATAGCAAACACTGTTTTCCCGCTGCGATGTTTAAGCTTCGTACGGTGGTCGGCCTTATGTTCGAAGTGCTTGCCTTTCTTCCGTACCGGGTGGTTTGCTGCAAGGAATCGACGATGACCCATGTATACAATCTTCCTACAGTGCTTAAGATACGTACTTTCTGTTTCATCCATACAGTGAGTGCAAGCCTTGTACCCCTTGTTGGACTGTCCGGATAGGTTGCTAAGTGCAGGCCAATCGTTGATGGTTACGAACAGCAGCGCTCGTAGGTTAAACTCCTCCTGTTTGTCCTCGTCCCACACGGGGACACCTTCCTTCTTCCACAACTGTTTAAGATCTTCTACCAGTGGTCTTAGGTACACGTCGATGTCGTTACCAGGTTGCTTGGGGCCTTGAATAATAATCGGCATCATTATGTACTTCCTCTTCATGCATAGCCAGGGGGGGAGGTTGTAGATACACATCGTAACGGGCCAAGTGCTATGGCCGCTGCTCATCTCTCCAAAAGGATTCATGCCATCCGTACTCAAACCAAACCGTATGTTTCGTGCGTCCTTTCCAAATTCTTTAAATTTTCTGTCGATGTTTCGCCACTGCGAACCATCGGCGGGGTGTCTCAGCATCCCGTCCTGTTGACGCTCTTCAGCGTGCCATCGCAACATTCTAGCATTCCCCTTGTTCCTGAACAAACGCCTTAAACGTGGTATTATAGGGAAATACCACATCACCTTAGCAGGAATTCTCTTCTTTGTTAGCTCCCCGTCAACTTCTCCTGGATCGTCCCGTCTAATCTTGTATCGTAGCCCTTTGCAAACAGGGCATGCTTCTAGGTTCTCGTACTCCTCACCGCGATATAGGATACAATCGTTCGGACATGCGTGAATCTTATGAACTTCCAGTCCTAACGGGCAGACTATCTTCTTAGCCTCGTACGTTGTCTCGGGCAATTTATTTCCCCCCGGAAGAATGTTCTTGACGAGTTTCAATAAATCGCCAAATGCCTTGTCACTAACCCTATTTTTTGCCTTCCATTGCAACAACTCCAGAGTGGTATCCAACTTTTTGTGCCCCTGCTCGCAACCTGGGTACAACGAAGTTCTGTGGTCCTCCAACATCTTGTCCAATTTATGGGCCTCCTTTTCACTTTCGCAGTCCTCCCTGGCGTCCTGCAACATCTGACTAAGATCATCCGCAACGTCGTTACCATCAGCAGCTATTTCCTCCTCGCCCGTTTGATTTCCTTCAAATCCAACATACTGAGCAAAGTCCGGAATATTGTCGTCTTCCACTTCATCTTCTTCCATTTCAACACCTTGCTCTCCGTGGGATGTCCAACAATTATAGCTTGGCATGAACCCCGACTCAAACAAGTGGAAATGAATAGTCCTGGATGCAGAATACTCCTTCTGATTCTTACACTTATTGCATGGACAACAAATAAAACCCCTTTGCCTGTTAGCTTCGGCTACTCTCAAAAAATAGTGCACGCCGTCAATAAACTCTTTGGACCGCCGGTCAGCGTACATCCATTGCCGATCCATCTACATGAGTCAAAAAAACCGTACACAAATAATTATTCTTACAATAATGACAGTCATACAATAATTATAAGATATCTTTATTCATATAAAAATCATAAAATATTACACCAAATAATTCTTAAAAACTATTTGTAAAGTTTTAAACTAATTTTAATGTGTTTTACTTCTTTTAATTTTCATTTTAGTTTGTTTTCTATTATTTAAGATTAACTTTCACTAGAGTTTTCCTTCTCAACTATTTTATAAAACCTTGTTTAGCAAATGAACTAAATTTCTATATATTCTTTCTTCCCCACACACATTTTCTCTCTCATCAACTTACAACTAAATTTTGGAGACAAAAAAAGTGTGCAAAACATAGGTGCAAATGTAGTATGACAAAAAAAAACATTGGAGGATGAAGTTGCAAACCTTTTAGGCACCTCCGATTTGTATGTAATCACCAAAATAAATTCAATAGAAATTTTGGCATGACCTCCCCTCTTCATATGAAGAAATTTTGAAGCTTGCTCGGGCAGCTGGAGGAGGAAGAAGACATATATATAGGGGTGGGACTTTAGTCCCGGTTGGTAGCACCAACCGGGGCTAAAGATCACCGGGATCATTAGTCCCGGTTGGTAATACCAACCGGGACTAAAGTTAAGATCTTTAGTCCCGGTTGGTGTGGGCCTGACAGGCCCTGACAGCATTCGAACCGGGACTAAAGATGATCTTTAGTCCCGGTTGGTAACACAAACCGGGACTAAAGATCAAATATGCCCGTTACCCTTTTGAACCGGGACTAAAGATCATCTTTAGCCCCGGTTTTTATTGCATCCGGGACTATTGTGGAAATCGGCCGACCGACGAAAGATGGTTTCTCCACCAGTGATATCATCATTTGATTCTACAAATTGCTATCAATAAACATCAGTTCTGTCGGCCGGTACTCCATTCTTTTTTAATTCAATTACATGTTTATAAGCTCTTAATTACTGTCTTTGAGATCTGACTATAATGTATTTACCTATGTAACTTGACGTGAAAATACGGTAAATTAAAAAAAACCAAACAATTCTAAGGGGATAATTTTCACAAAAAAAATCTAAACAGCTTCAAATATACTCCATATTAAAGATCAAATCTTAGAAGGAAAAAAAAATCCCAACGGCAGAAATGTAGGACGGACACGTACAGTACAACTCAATCAATAACATCCACTGTCGCGATGCTCTTACAAGTACTCTTTTCGTCCCATTTTAAATGCAGTCATGAGTATTTCCGTGTCTAATATTTGACCAGTCATGAGTATTTCCGTGTCTAATATTTGACCGTCTGTCTTATTTTAAAAAAATATGACTTTTTTAAAAAAAATAAGTCACGCATAAAGTACTATCTATGTTGTTATTATAATGACAATAAAAATACTAATTAAAAAACAATTTTAAATAAGACGAATGGTTAAACATTGGACACAAAAACCCATGACTGTATTTAAATGGGAAGGATGGAGTACCTCTCAATCATTAAACTCCTAGTCTGATCCTATCCTTGTCGTCTCTTGGCATGCATGCCGTACTCCCTAATATTAATTTCATCACTCCACAACTTCTTTCAACCATTTCACAGAGATCATCCTTCGATCGATCCATCAATTCCATCCATGATCATCGAACATCGTCTCCAATCATAAGCCCATGCCCCTCCCTCACGCTTAACCCTTACCTACGTCCATAACCCCCATCTCTCTCGATCGATCTCTACCCATCCATCTACTATATTTTGGTATACACATTGCTAACCTACCTAAACATATACTCTCACAATTGCACCATATATATATGAACACGAAATACGTACATACATACGCCGCACCTACGTATAGCATATGTAGGCCCATGCATATGCATGTGTAGACATTTATATCTATACATACATCCATAAATGTTTATATACATATATATATTTATATGTATTTATCGAAAAATACATGTATATTTGTCAGTATATATAGGGTCTAGGGTGTAGACGGCTGTAGCTATAGTAGCTAGCTAAGCTCGCAAGAGCTTATCACCAGCTTGTGTGTGTTTGTGTTTGAGTTTCTGTGATTTCGCCATGCCAACCTCGCAACAAGATGGCGGCGGCGGCGGCGAGAGGCTGTTTCACGGCGGCGGCGCCGGAGATGGAGACGGTGGTGGTGGTGGTGGGGCGGCGGCGGCGGCGGCGGCGAGGCAGGTGTGGGTGCCGGGGCCGGTGATCGTGGGGGCGGGGCCGTCGGGGCTGGCGACGGCGGCGTGCCTGAAGGCGCGCGGGGTGCCGTCGCTGGTGCTCGACAAGGACGCCACCGTGGCGGCGTCGTGGCGGGAGCGCACCTACGAGCGCCTCCGCCTCCACCTCCCGCGCGGCTTCTGCGAGCTCCCCCTCGCGCCGCCGTTCCCGCCGGGGACGCCGCCGTACCCGACGCGGGACCAGTTCGTCGCCTACCTCGACGCCTACGCCCGCGCCTTCGCCGTCGAGCCCCGCCTCGGGTCCCGCGTCCGCGCCGCCTCCTACGACGCCGCCATCGGCTTCTGGCGCGTCGCCGCCGTCGACGAGGCCGGCGGCGGAGGCGCCGGAGGCGAGACGGAGTTCCTGTCGCGGTGGCTGGTGGTGGCCACCGGCGAGAACGCGGTGGCGGCGTGGCCGGCGGAGGGCGTGGGCGCCTACCGCGGCGCCGTGATGCACACCAGCAGCTACAAGAGAGGGGACGAGTTCGCCGGGAAGAAGGTGCTCGTCGTCGGCTGCGGCAACTCCGGCATGGAGGTCAGCCTCGACCTCTGCAACAATGGCGCCGCCACCTCCATGGTCGTCAGGGACAAGGTGTATACTTTTACGTTGCGCACGTGTTTGCTACTGTTAAGTTGTTGCGTAATTAATTATTGTTGCACTCACAAATTAACTTAGTAGTACAAACTTATTAATTACTCCTTGTAAAACTTGTCGTTTTGTATGAGGGTTGGGTCAAATTTTTTAAAACATTTGACTATGAATAATTTCTATTCTGTATAATATTTGTCTTAGAAATATGAAAGCCATATATATGTTTAAAAAGTACTTCAATAAAATCATATATATATTTTTTGATAATATAGAACAGTGGTCAAAGTTGCTTTTTAATACCAAGTGCCCTATTATTAACCTGGAGGGGAGTAACTGGAGTAACTGTTTAGCTTCAGAAAATTTACTTGAAAAGTTTGCCAAGTTTCCCTAAAATTTTGTACTGGACTGCTAGTTTCAAATTTTTTACTGTCTAAACTGTCTAAAAGCTAATTTAAAGCTATATTTCGTATAGAGGTCGAAATTATTGCTTGGAGTAGTCGAAGCGTGCTAGAAGACAAATTAAGAAAATAAAAGACCATATAATCACAAAATATAAAAGAAAATACATCGTCATCGCATTTTTCCCTCCAAAGCAACAGCCAGCTTTCTAAATAGAGAGTCCATGTTTTCTTATGTTAGTATTGAGGCCATATACTGTAGAAGTTTTGGAACCAAAACTTCAAATAAATTAGGTATATCTACCAAAATACACTTTTGCAATTTATTTTCTCGTTTTAGGGGCACCACAGAGCAAATCTAGCATTTTCAGTTCCCAGGATGTAATTCTGTGTAATTCTGTGTGGTCAATTTATTCCGTCGCGCCACGTGTCTTTCCTTTTTGCCTCCCTTCTATAAAGAATCGTTGTCACTTTCATAGCAGAAAAACCATAATATATCATTTTCTGGAAAATTCATATGAATGACAGTTGCTTGTAGCAAAATTTAGTAAACATTGAGAGATTTTTTTTTTCATTCTCACAAAATTTCTTATCATACATACATGCTTGTGTGCATCATATGTTTGTGCTACTTGCAATTGTAGCTTGCTGTTACATAGAAATACGCACTGATGTGGTGCCACATTGCCCCGTAGACTTCCCTTTCCTTATCTTGCACACCGCACAGGGGAGACAGAGAAAGAACAAGGGAAAATTACAACAACAGTGACAGGGGAAAAGAAAAGAAAAAAAATCAGAATTTGAGCTAGAATGCTCGAGAAACTAGATTATATACAGTGGCTAGCATGAATGTTCATGAATTTTCCTTCCCTTTTCTTATAGTGAAAGCAAGAGATGATGTTAATAATATTATTGATCACTATACGAGATTGGGTAAGTAGAGTAGTGTTGAGTGAGTCAAAATTACATGATCTAATTAAATTTAAAGTAGCAATGCATTGGACAAATTAATTTCATCCCTGAAATATTGATATGTTGTGAATGAATAAAATATAGAAAAACCAATATATAGTTTTCACCATATATACATACTAGCTAAGAGTTTAGGCCGCCTTTTGTACTATGGATTTCAATATATGTGTATCCTTAATTATTCAACATTTTTTGTGGGTAAATTTGCAGATTCATGTTCTGCCTAGGGAGATTCTGGGCATCTCAACATTTGGCCTCTCAGTGTTCCTTCTCAAGTGGTTTCCCATAAAATGGGTTGATGCTTTACTACTCATTTTCTCGAGATTGATCCTTGGAAACATTGAGAAATACGGCCTCCGACGACCTAAGATTGGTCCACTCCAGATCAAGTGCTCTACCGGGAAAACACCGGTGCTTGACATCGGCGCTCTTAAAAAGATCAAGAACGGCGAAATAAAGGTAAATTATACAACTCATTATATACAAATCCCTCCCCCCCCCCCCTCCCACCCAATGATCATGCAAGCTCAACTAACAATATAATTCACTAAAAGAACAAACTAAATAACTAAAAACTGAACAGATCACATGATGGAATTAACAAGAGAAGCTATATAGTATAAACACCCAACCATTTGTACAACAAACATGAAGTAAAGAAAGATTTTTTGTCTTGCAGTGATGTAGGTCAGTGTACTATATGTTGTTTAATGATGTAGTGCAATGTCCTACCAAGTGAATCTAGAATGAGATTCTCTCTGCAGGTGGTCCCAGCAATACACTGCTTCACAGAGGATGGGGTCGAATTCGTGAATGGCTGTAGGGAGGACTTTGATGCCGTCATCTTTGCCACTGGATACAAAAGCAATGTGCCATCATGGCTCAAGGTACGCATGCACACCTAAATTCTTTATGTTCCACCAGTTTTTCTCGGCATCCTTTAATTTAGATGGCACATAACTATGTTGCGAATGATGCTACAAAGGGATTCACAAATTTAGCGAAATAATACTGCGAACATAGAGATATGTTTTTCGTCGTGCATAAATTCAATACACGGGACATATGTACATGGTCGCTCTGGTCAATAAACATCTATTAGAGATGTTTTATATTTAAGTTGTAAAAAACTTTGAACATTAGTTTATCTAGTAAAATATTTTGATTGGATTGACGCACATAAAATTGATGGGCAGCATGCATGCATGAATGATTGAGTGATTGACTGACTTATGTTTTATTTATATATGATGCATGGGGAGTACATATATATAGATCATGGAAATCACAAAGCAATATATATGCACTGTACACTTTCACATCAGAGATTGACCCTATGCTTGTATACATATGGTCTATGCCACCCTAATCAAGGTATTAGATAGCTAGGCATGGGCAATGACAATGATACTAAGAAGGGGGTGATATCCCTCCTAGATGGAGACATGGAAATTCATCCAAAAAATGACAATCAATAGCCAATTTTGCTTCAAAGATAGGAATGAACCATAGTTGTCACCTCGATCTTTAGATTCTAAGGTGAAAAATAATTGATCTAGGTAGATATAGGAGAGGACATATATGTCTTTTCAGTTCGCGCATGTGTGTGCGCGTGCGCGCGATCGAGATGATAGTTACTAGTCTTGTACTTCCCATTTGTATCTTGATACGTATATATCATTGAGTGTATGTAGACATGGACATGTCTAGGGTAGGGTTGTCATGTCAGCTTGTCAATGTTTTGATCGTGAGAACTATAGCTATATAGCTAGCTAATTGATTGAGGATTGGGATGCATGGGCGGCTCTTAGCTCTAGCTAGCTCTTGCATGTTCCTCTCAATCTCATATGTGTATGTATATGTATGTATTTTGTTTGTTGTTGTGTTGTTGTTGGTGCTGTGTGAGATGGTCCGACAGTGGAGCCCATGTATATATATGTTGGCATTGATTTGGACCATATGCAATAGCGACTAGGCATATATGCAAAAAGAAGAAAAATAGAAATGGTTTTCATGGATGTGTTTTATACTTTTGTTCCATTCTCAAACAAAGCATGCATGCCTAATTGCTTTGCATCATGCAAGATAGTTTAGAGAAATGAAGATTTATACATATATGCAAACTTCCAAATATATAATAATACTCATATAGTGTTTCACAATTTGTTTTCATGTTTTTCATGCTAAAGAGACAATTTTATGGTCTTGGAAGAACCATTAGCCACAAAGAGAATTATTGATCACATGGCAGTTAAGCAGCATGTCATAAACATGGTAGCAATTAACTAGGTATAGCTAGCTAGCCATTGAAGTGCACAGCCAGCACACATCTCTGCATGCACCTTCAAGTGGGAGTATAGCTAGAGAGGAAACTGCAACTCTGTGGGCAGTGAAAGGAAGATTAAATTCTTGCCAAAAACAAAACCACACCTCATCATAACATCACATATATATAAATATATACCATGTGAGTTTGAGTTTTTTTTTCTTTCTTCTGTTCATTTCCTCTGAGTTAGGTGATGCACATGCTGGCCCATAATGATTTGGTAAGGACCCATTTGTTGATCATGTGCATGGCAAGTGCAGCTGCCAGTACACCCCAACAGTAATGCATTGCATTGTACTCCTGCTGCATCTGCATATGCATGCCCACTCTACCTTTTGTAGGGTGGCCCATCTTGATGGCTTGCTTGATGGCTCCCATCTGTCTAACCCAGATTTTGATGATCTCAAGTGTGTGTTTGGCATGCACTGGAGCTGATCTGATCAACAGTGTGTCTACATGCTATTGCATGCATGCATCACTGTTTTAGCTCTTTCAATTGAGCAAAATGTGATGGATTCTAGCTAAGCTAGAACAGTTTGTGTTGTTCTCTTTTCTTGCCTATATTGGTCCACCAGATTCTGTGCTTCGTTTTCAGCTGGTAATCATTGGTTAGGAAAGACATCAACATATATATATGCACCTAGCTAGTTTTTGTTCTTTTTTGCATCTTGCAAAAGGAACAATGATTATTGTCCTGGCTTTATCAATCGATGATAGTGTGCCGTATATCACAGGGACCTTGTAAGGAACATTGCAGTCATATGAACCACTCATTTAATTCTGGTCTAGGAGCATTGCTCTAATTACCTCATATCCCCTAGCTATCTGATAAAAGTCATCTATTACAAGTTACTATCTAGATTTGTTAAATTGTACTCCACTAAGAAAAAAATACACTAGCACATAAAACTAATTCGTGCTGGCTAGGAACGCCACAGGTGCCGTGTTATGAATCCAACAAAGCGACACTTACCGATAATGGTTACTATTGCCAGTTATAGAACCGATACATATGTGAGCATATATGGGCGGTTCTAATATAATTAAGAACCGACACATATGAAACCTAGGGTGCATTGGAAGGCTCATATATGTCGGTTAAGAAGTACATTCGGCCGGTTCTTCACAACATTTGGTACTTATGGAGCTCACTAGGATGTGTTGGCAGGTCCATATGTGCTAGTTGTTGACGTAAAAAAATATACCTACACCTGCTCCAAACCAAAAAAATATATGATAAATTCATATATTCACAATCAAAATGATAGATTGATATAAATGTGTAGAATTTTAATTGAGGTTATCAAGGTCCCAAGTGATTGAAATCTTTGAAAACTTACAGATATTTAGGCATTTGAAATCTAGGATATACCTAATGAAAATATGCTTTTTGACTTATCAGCGTGCTGGCCAAAATTTGCATTTTGTTAGAGTTGATTTTAGGGGTTTTTTTTCCATCGTAGTTTAGTTTCTAGTATTATCATTTTAAACTGCTGATTTTTCTATGGCTTATCAACGGTAGCTCAACCGCATGCTAGTAAAATCCCAAATTAACTTGGAATTAACCTTGCAGTAACCAGAATGTACACACATATTATGACTTGGAGTTTCCATTATTTTAGTGATATTGCCTGCTTGCCTTTCCTTGAATTTGGTATGTAGTACCTATACCCTTGCATGATGAAATAAGGATAAATATGTGCATTAGTACAGGTTCTTTGCCTTTTGAGACCATGCTGTACTAACGAAGGAGCCCAAAGTTTCTCCATCAGGCAAAATAGAATCCAGATGGAGCACCAATTACTCCTACAAAACTATGTGGCATATTTTGTTTTACTATTCTTTCAAATCAAGTATTGAGAAGTAGAAGTATATATACAACACTACAACTACTTAAAACATGTAATTAATGTATACATCTGAAGGAACAAAAATAATCCCTTGCAAAATACTTCGAATATAAATTTGAATGAAATGATCCAATATATCGATGCCCACATTTCATTGATAAACACAAATATATCCGATGGATGGAGATTGTCTACAGTACTACCGCTGCAGTGGCTGCTACATTTTGCATATATCTATCCAAATTAATCAGGACTAATTCAGTTTGTAATCAACAGCATAAATTAAAATCGTTACTCTCACCGTCCTAAAATATAACAATGTATAACTATGTACATAGGAGGAGGAGTTCTTCAGCGAGAGCGACGGGTTCCCGAGGAAGGCGTTCCCGCACAGCTGGAGGGGGAAGAACGGCCTCTACGCCACCGGATTCACCAAGAGGGGCCTCCAGGGCACCTCCTACGACGCCGCCATGATCGCCGCCGACATCGCCCGCCGCTGGACCAAGTCCCTCGCCGGCCCTACTGCCGCCGCCGACGCCGACCACCATGAGACATACATAGCTAATTAATTATATATATATGTGTCTTATAATTAGCATCGTAAGATTTTCTTGTTCTTTTTTTTTTTGTTCTGTCGTCGCTGTGTTGGGAGAAATGTACATGTCTGAGCGTCTGCTGGTCGAGAATGAGATCAATCATCGAAGTGCGTATGTGCATGTGTGTGTACATATGTATGCCAAATATATATATAATATGTTATGTGTCAATATATAATATTTATATACTACTAGTATTATGCATCCAAGGAGAACTTTGAAGTCTGAGGATCTTGGTGAGTAATCCTGGCCTGAAGCTTCCATTGACAATGGTGAAAATAAACAGAAGCCTCTGCCTTGCTGAAATGTACTCTGCTGTTCTGAACTCTGAACTACTCTGAAGAACATACAGATTCAGCCATTCAGGCAAAGGCTTTGACCAGCACCCTGTCCAATGCCAGTTTCATGTAGCAGTAGTAAGCAAGAATGACAGTGCTGTTGGATCCTTGGATTTGGAAACCAGAGGTTAACCATTCGGTGCTGGAAGAACTAAATCTGAGTGGGTGCAGCGTCAGAACAGGGTAGCTCAGGGAACAGCGCAGTGCAGCATTCAGAGTTTCAGACAGAGACACGAGGAAATGAGAAGAATAGGCTAGAGAGGTGAATTTGTCTTCTGGGCTGCTGGATCTTGGAGAAGGAATTAATCTATTTTACCTCCCTCAACTCTTGCTTCCGATTAAATCACTTTTCTCAACAGTAAAACCAGATATAACACATCCATCATATTTGAATACAGGTGTAAAATCGACTTCATCTCCCAGAGTAGCTGGAGAAGCCCACAGGAGGAGGCGACCGATCGTCCCCCTAGGGCGATGGAGAAGTAGTAGTCTGGGCAGAGCAAGTAGAGTCCCTATCCGGTGGCCGGTTTGCACCAGTTTTGGAATATGTGGGAGGTGTTATACCTGGTTTTATGGTTGAGGAACGCGATTCAATCAAGAGCAAGAAATTAGGGAGGAAAAAATAGACTCTCCTGCAGAATTTGTACATGATGGACTTGGCTGGGCCGTATCTATTGAGTTGGGCCTTGGTAGGCCCAATTGCAGGAGCCAGCAGCAATAGTTTTTACAGTCCGTTTGATTGGGGGAAGTTTTTAAGTAGGGATTGGGAGTTTAGAAAGATTAGACTATTAATTATTTTGTTTGGTTGGGAGTCATGAGAATTTTAGTGGGATAGAAATTAAGGAAGGAACTCCTTCGTTTTCAATATCTGGGTAGGGGATGATAATTGGGAGAGGATTCCTACTCTACTCTGCCTAAACAAATCTCAACCATTCATTTTCATTAATGACCTAATCTCTGACTAAACTTCCTATCAATTTCCACCATATCTACAAAACTAGTGGAATTTAAAAATTAAATTCATATCTTAATCTCACTATCAATTTTCTCGTGTAAACTTCTAATCCTTTTCCCAGGAATTATCAAACAAGCCGTCGGAGTACTTGTTTGCGTCTTGTCAAATGCCGTGACAGGATAAAACCAGGTATCGTGATCTTGTGACTGAAAGAACATTAGAGGGTTAGATTAGATTAAGACAACCTTGATTTGACACTTGGGGCCAAGCAGAGAAGAGAATTGTAACTCAAACAACATTGATTTGACAGTTGGGCTAATTAAATCAGAGAAAAAGAGAAGCTCAAGAGTGAAGACAAAGAATGTGTTATGACTTAACCATGATTAAAATACAAGTTGTCACGAATGAAACCAATGTGAATTTTTTTTGAACGACGATGAAACCAGTGTGGATTGTGACAAAGGTGGGATATGATGATGGTGAATGATTAAACAAAGGCCATGCAATGATGATGGAGATAGACATTGTATCTAGTGATGTCTCCTGATGAGATGTGAGTTTCAATCATAATTGACCGACCTAAAAGATGGAAATATTGTATAGTATGCTTGAAGAGACAAAATTGGACTGTAATCCCTATCGTTTCATGGAGAGCATTACAAACATTGGCTGATGATCTTGGTGGTGACCTTGCCATAAAAATTATATTACACACCAACAAATTAACATTTACCCATCCTGCTTACTGCATTCCTTAATTAATTACCAATTTACCACACCCTATCCCACATTTTACAACCTTTTTCCCGATCACGACGACGCCGGCGGCGCCGTCGCCGGCGAGGAGGGCGACGACCACACAAAACCTCGTCTTCCCGCGCGCGCGTGATCGATCACGACGCCGGCGGCGGCGAGGATGGGTGGGCGGCGTCGAAGAGCGCCTCCATCTCCTCGAGGCTCCTCCCCTTGGTCTCCGGGAGGCAGGCGTAGACGAACACCCACGCCGCCGCGGAGCACGCCGCGAAGAGGTAGAACGTGCCGGCCATGCCCGCCGCCTCGTACAGCGAGATGAAGCTCATCCCCACCGCCGCGCTCATCACCCGGTTCGCCGCCGTCCCGATTCCCGTGCCCTGCGCCCGCAGCCGCAGCGGCAGGATCTCCGACCCGTACATCCATATCACCGGCCCGAACCCCAGCGAGAACGTCGCCATGAACGCCGCCGCCGCCGCCACGCTCGTCGCCGCCGCCCACCACTCGGAGCCGGAGCCGGAAGACGACGACACGCGCAGGGAGAAGCCGAGGACGAGGAGCGACACGGCCATGCCGCCCGCGCTGGAGAGCAGCATCGGGCGGCGGCCGAGGCGGTCGGCGAGGAAGAGCGGCACGACGATGGAGGCGGTCTTGGTGGCGCCGAGGAGGACGGTGGCGCCGAGCACCGCGCGCTCCGACGTCACGCCGACGTGGTTGAACACCCGCGGCGCGTACAGCACCATCGCCGCCACGCCCGACGCCTGCTGGAAGAACTGCAGGCCGAGGATGGCGAACAGCACGCGCCGCACCGCCGGCGTCGGCCGGACCAGGATGTCGCGCCACACGCCCGTTGACGCACCGCCGCCGCCGGCGGCGGCGGCGGAGGACAGCTGCTGCTTCGTCGCGCTCTCCTTGACGGACGACACGATCTCCTGGAGGCGGCGCTCGGCGAGGGCGGCGTCGCCGCCGGTGGTGCGGACGAGCACCTGGCGCGCGTCGTCGTGGTGGCCGTGCAGGACGAGCCAGCGCGGCGTCTCCGGCATGGCGAGCAGCGCGGCGGCGGCGAGGAAGAGCGGCGGGACGGCGCCGATGCCGATCATGAGGCGCCAGTTGAGCGACATGGGGAGGCCGGCGAGCGCGAAGTCGGCGATGTAGCTCAGCAGGATGCCGGAGTTGCCGGCGATCTGACGTGGCAGCCATCAACACAAAGCTCAGCTCAGCATCAATTTCACTCAAAACAACCCATTTCGCAAAATTTTACTCCATTCGTTTTATATTATAAGTCATTTGAACTGTTTTGAACTTTTTCTTAGTTAAATTTTGTTAACTTAGATCAAATTTATAAAAGAATATAGTTGTATATTTAACACAAAACAAACATATTAATATATTCAATGTTAGATTTTAACAAAAATAAGTTGATATTTTAGATGTTGCTAAATTTTTTATAAACTTGATTAAACTTAATAAAATTTAACTAGGAAAAAGATAAAGATGAAATGAGTTATAATATGAAACAGAAGAGTACTACTATTGTCTAAAATGATACGTATAAATCAACATTTATAAATTTCCAACCAAATTTTATTGACATTATAATAAGGAAAGGATAATGTATCAAATGCGTGACAAAATACGTAGAGGAATTGAACTCGTATTTCTATGCTTAATTAAAGTTAAATTCAGTTTAGTGGACTCATTCACAGCCAGATAAATTACACTTTATGCCAGTACAATCTAATTTAATTTTGAACCATGCATAATTGCCACGGTAAAATCTCATTAAAAAGCATTAAATTTCCGGCGTGTTCATGCATGTGCCCCTCAGGTCCCAACAAATCTCGTACTAGAATATATTGTTAAGCAGAGAAGATCGATTTGATTTCGTTTTAATTAATCCATTTTAGATTAGGATGCCTCAGCTTGACGTGGCTCAGCTAAGTATCTATCTAATCACATATTAATAACACTAAACCTAACCTCTTTCTCTTTCTCGGGTAATTAACCCTACGTATTTCTTGATCTCTCGATCGAAACCACAATAGTTAGTGTATCAACTGAACTTGATCTGATAATTAGAGATTACTAAGTATATTTACTTCCTAATGAGCAATTAGTCATGTGGAGAAGAAGTTTAATTGAACTTAATTTTAGAAGATTGATTAGTACTCCCTAATTAGGGATTAGGCATGCGGAGAAAGAAGTAATTAGTTAGCAACATGCAAAAAAAAAAAAAAAACACACGTGCCACAACGCACCTCGGGGATGGAGGCGAGGAAGCCGCGCGACGACGGCGGCGCGATCTCGGCGATGTAGACGGGCGCCACGACGAGGCCGAACCCGCAGGCGACGCCGGCGACGAGCTGGCCGGCCATGAGCGCGGCGTAGCCGCTCGCCGCGGCGGTGGCGGCGGAGCCGGCGAGGAACATGGCCGCCGACAGCGCGATGGTGCGGCGGCGCCCCGCGCGGTCGCACGCCCACCCCGCCGCCAGCGAGCCGACGAGGGAGTAGATGCTCGTCGCCCCGATGAGCACCTCGATCTCCGCGTCGCTCACGCCCAGGTCCAGCTGCACGAACTTCTGCGCCCCGCTCATCACGCCCCGATCTGTGCGCGTACCAAAAAGAAGAGGAAAACCTTAGCAATAAGCGGCCATGGCGGCGCGGCGGCGGCGAGCGGATCGATTTGGGATTTGGGTAGATTACTGTAGCCGTAGATGATGGAGGTGAGGGAGGCGGCGACGGCGCAGGCGAGGGCGAAGGAGGAGCCGGCGGCGGGGTGGCTGTTGTCGACGTCGTGGTGGTCGGCGTCGGCGGCGGCGGCGAGGAGCGGCGACTCGACGTCGTCGTCATTCTTCATGGCTGGGTGGGTTGGTGAAGCTAGGTGGGCGCGCGCCGGCGAGCGCGGCTGGGGGGTGGTGGTGCTTATGAAGCGAGCGCGCGACACGCGAGGGCGAGGCGAGGAGAGCGCGCGACACGCGAGGGCGAGGCGAGGAGAGCGCGCGGCGTGGCGTGGCGTGGCGCGGCGCGGCGAGGAAACGTGGACCTCTGCGGCTGGTTTGAGGCGGATGGATCCAATAAATGTGAGGCTGCAACAGCCTGTTTTTGTGTGTTTTTTTCGTAAGTAATTAGTAGTTACAGCCTCCTTCTCTCGTACTCCCTCCATACCCACAAAATAAGTCGAAACAAGTCGTTTAGGTCAAAGATTGTACTTACTAAGGAGTGATTAATTTGAGGCTATTCTTCCATGTCTGCCCCTATTAAATAAGGGTGCGGGTGCATTTATTTGAGAAGCAAACAGAGCTCAAATGGCTAGTGCAGCGAGGTTTAAAGGTTGAGTGCTTGGGTTTGATACTTGGTGGGCTCATTATTTTTTTTTTTCTGATTTTGCATGGCGCTTGTGTGCGTATTTTTGGGCGCGTATTTTTCGTTTTTTCGTCTGGGCACTCCGTTTTTTTTCTGATTTTGCATGGCGCTCTCGCGGGTGTTTTTTGGCGCGTATTTTTCGTTTGGGCACGTATTTTTCGTTCTTTTCACGAGTAGATGCCGTTTCAGTTTCACCATGCCTATTTAAATGGCTTCTTCTCTTTCCATTACTGTGCTTAACCTGCTCACTTTCTGTCCGCGAGAGTTTCCATCTACTACATGCAATGGCTGTTCCAGCTGTTGCTGGCTTTGATTTGAATGTCCGCCTAGAAGAAGATGAGGACGGCAATGTTCCCTTCCATCTCAACGAGCCAATATTGGAGGATCACAACGTTAATGGTAATGTGTTTGTTCTTTCCTTTTTTTTTTATATTCACAGCAACGACATCAACTAAGTTTCTATTTCTAAGTTTTTTCTTTCCTTTTTCCGACAGGATTTGATTTGAACATGCCACTAGATGAATTTGGTGTAGTTGATTTAGATTTTTTACAAAACCACGCTGGTAATCTTGATATCAGTTTGTTCTTTCCATTTTCATTTTTTTATTAAAGCAGTGGCTATTTTTTTTGAATGTGCTTGTTTTTTTTGTTTGACTAGAACATGCTGTACAGAACCAAGCTCCTGTTGAAGGACAGCATCGAAGGAAGGACATGACAGAAGAAGTCACAAAACAAGTGTACCAAGCATTGTTGAATGACAACAAGAATGGGAAACTAGGCAAGAAAGATACAAGAAGGGTTGCTGATCAATTTGGAGTGCGCATTCGATCAGTTCAGCGCTTATGGAAGCGAGGTAAAATCTAACTTGCTCATAACATTCCGGTTGTGGTTGCTAGTCACAAGAAGGGTAGATCTGGTCGTAAGGCAATCCCTCTTGATTTGGAACAATTGCGCAACATTCCTCTCAAGTAAAAAATGACCATAGAAGATGTGTCTAGTAAACTTGGTATTTCTAAATCTAGGATACAAAGGTATTTAAAAAAAGGTTTGCTTAGACGGCACTCTAATAGCATCAAACCATACCTCACAGATGCTAACAAGAAGACTAGGTTGAAGTGGTGTGTTGACATGATTGATCAAAGTTTGGTTGGTGATCCAAGATTTAAGGATTTTTTTGACTATGTGTTCATTGATGAAAAATGGTTCTACCTCTCTCAAAAATCTGAGAAGTATTACTTGCTACCCGAGGAAGATGAACCACATCACACTTGTAAGAACAAGAATTACATCCCTAGGCTCATGTTCTTGTGTGTTTGTGCTTGGCCAAGGTTTAGGAATGGAGAATGTGTTTTTGATGGTAAAATTGGTTGTTTTCCACTTGTCACTTATGAATATGCTGTGAGAAGTAGTCAGAATCGTCTTCGTGGAGAACTAGTAATCAAGCCAATAACTTCAATTACAAGAGATGTGATTAGAGATTTCATGGTAAACAAAGTGTTGCCTGCCATTCGAGACAAATGGCCAAGAGAAGATGTGAACAAACCAATTTTTATACAACAAGATAATGCACCTTCCCATTTGAAATTGGATGATCCTGTTTTTTGTGAGGCTGCTAGGGAAGAAGGGTTTGACATTCGCCTAGTTTGTCAACCACCCAATTCTCCGGATTTTAACATTCTAGACTTGGGGTTTTTTTGAGCTATTCAAGCAATTCAATAAAAAAGGAGGCAAAGACAATAAAAGATCTAGTTCCAGCCGTGGAACAGGTAAATGGATCCATTGTTCACTTGTTTCATTGTTTTGTTCAACAATTAAAGTACTCGGTTAAAGATTTATTCCACACATGTTTTGCAGGCATTCTTAGAGTACTCTCCATGGAAAGCAAACAGAATGTTTGTAACACTACAAACTGTTTTGAAGGAAGCCATGAAAGTAAAAGGTGGCAACAAGATCAAAATTCCTCACATGCAAAAGGAAAAACTAGAGAGAGAAGATCGACTGCCATTGCAAATCTCATGTGAAGCATCCTTGCTTGCTGAATGCATTGCTAGTCTCCCTGCAACAAATTAGAAGTAGAATATTAGATGATGCAAGCATGTTAGTCTTTGCAGCATGCTAGCCGAAGCAAGAATATTAGCAGCAAATTAGTTTTTGCTTGTATGTTAGGTCGACTGAATGAGACATGTAACTTACTGTTCTTGCTTCATCTTTGCATCTTCCAACTCCTTCATACTGTAGATCTCGTCCAACTTTTTGATAACGTGCTCAGGAAGAAGTATGGTTTCACCATCCATTTGAAGTTTCTCCACATCAGGAATGTATAACTCACAATCAAACTTTTCCATGTTATGCAAAAACCTTGCTATGAGGTCGTAGTCTTCATGTAAAAGGCCACAATGGGCACACTTGCGAGCACGGCGGCGAGCTTGGAAGCATGCTTCTCCGAAGACGCCGCCAGCATGGAATGTGCCGCAGCGAGGACATTGCACCACCTCGACGGAGTCCGGCGCCACCTCGACGGACTCCAGCACCACCTTGACAGAGTCCGGCACCTCGACGGAGTCCAACGCCATCTCCGATTCTAGCCCCTCGATGGAGTCCAGCGCGTTGACGATGTCCAGGGTGTCGACGGAGTCCGGCACCTCGACGGACTTCAGCGACTCGACGTACTCCATGGCGCGACCAAGCTCTGAACCCTAACTATAGCCGGGCGGCGAGGAAGAGAGACGCGCGTGTGCGAGCGGTGAGCGTGTGCGAGCGTCAAGCGACGAGCGTGTGCTGCATGCGGGAGACGAAGAGGAAAGATCGAGCGCCATTAATCACGTCCATTCAGCTTAAGGCGGCATTAATCACGTCGCCTCGTTTCTTGCCTTGCCGCTCGTTGCTCGGCTCTCGCGTCAGGGGCATACGCGTCCAAACTAAACCCCGCTGAGGAACGACGACTTGTTTTGTGAAAACGGGTAAGAGCCCAGAACGACTTGTTTTGTGGGTATGGAGGGAGTATAAAGTAACTTAATTATTAGAGCACATGTTATAGCTGTTTACAAATCTAGCATGTTTTTCTTCCCAATTACTCCTATATCGTTTTGGAACAAAATTTGTTAATTTTTGTCGTATAGGTGAGTTTGCTATCTATGTTTTGGGTGCATAAGTACTGTGTCATTCGATATGATGTACAGTATACGTCTTAATATTAGTGGTTTGGACTTTGCTTGTATTTATTCGCAGTGAGCATATAGTTATTCGCAATGAGCATATATTTGTCCTTACCTAACATTTGATTATCGAAATTACTGAATGTCATTCGACAAAAAATTGAGGGATTTCGTACAGATTTTGAAACCAACTAATATACTTGAAGATTAATTCGTGAGTCCAGTTCCTTCTCCTCCATCTCCAACAATCGGTGGCTACCCGACAAGTTAAAGTTTTTAGGGATTCAGGTCCGTGGTTGGAGTGGGGAGAAGGGAAGATTTAGAAGGATGGCTATGAAAGGTGGTGGCTCGGCGGTGGATAGTGGAACGGGTGGGTGGCAATGGTGCTCAAGTTGCCGAGTCGACAATATGGGGGCAAACCGGAACGAGGTTAATTAGGAGGTGGTAACCCGGCGGCAAGCCAAATGGGCGGGTCATGACAACGCCGAGGCTTCTAGGTCGACGATGAGGGTAGAGCGGCTTCGGGCCTTGAGCCTTCTTGACATCGTTGAGAGGTGCATGGGAGCATGAGAGGGGGAGTGGGACAACACGTTAGACTAAAGATAGAGAGAGAGAGGGAGAGGGAGAGGAGGAAGATAAGCTGGTGGATGAATCTCAAGATGATGCAAAAGTCCATTTGTAAGATGTTAAGCAACGTTTCCGTTAAATGTGTATATTGTCTAGTTTGTTATGATTGAGTCGGACTAGCTCACTCATGTTTGCTTATTTGCTTTTCATATCGTAAACTTGGCCATGCAAACTATATTTTAAGAAATTTAGCAGTTTTTTAATAAAATATATGTCGACAACTCGACATATATAAGTATGAACCATCGATAGAGAGAAATCTCTACTGTTTTACCGTTTATTATACCCATCTCATCTAAGTGCATAGTTTTATTGTCAGAATTAATTAATCCTAGTGTCGACACAAGATTTCGGCAATACTAAAAGGGGTGGCTATCAAGCTGGAAAAGTCGATGGGTTAGGAGGTGGCTATCAAGCTGGAAAAGTGGATGGGTTGGCAATATTAAAAGGGGTGGCTATCAAGCTAGAAAAGTCGATGGGTTAGGAGGTGGCTGGGTTAGGAGACACAAGGTTTATATAGGTTTAGGCCTTCTCGATGAGAAGTAATACCCTACTCCTGTCTGGGGATTGATCCGCCGAGTGTATTATTGATCGTATGATCAGAAAAGTTATACCCCTAGCAGCACCCAGACCCCTCCTTATATAGGGGAAGGAGCCGGAATTATAAGATACAACCCATGTTCCTTACGGACTAGGTATGTAAAGATAAATTACAATCATAACCGACTATGACTATCGAGTGTTTCCTTGATACACAAGTTAATATAACAACCGAGTCCTTTACTAAAGATATTCTATCTGCATAAGATACCCCTGTAATCAGTCAGATATCTATACCATGTGGATATGTGGTACTTATAATCTCCACACCTAGCTAGCTAGATCCAGCATGCACCACTCGATCTACAATCGTTGTGGCTAGCTAGCCAGCGAAAAAGGTTTGAAAAAAGTGGATCAACTGGGCCTACAATTTCGTGGAGAAGAATCATTGAATCAGATCAGCCTCGATCGAGCCATTTTTGTCCCGGTACCAGAAACCCCCGCTAGCTGCTCATCTAGTCATATGTCCGTGCATTTCTCATGGCGGATGGCCCTCGCCGCGTCCGTGTCTATCCTCAAGAGGCTCTGGAGGTTAGGCCCTGCCATGACAATTTATTTTTTTTAAAAAAAGAATGTAGCGGCACTGCAGCAGGGCTGAAAGAAAAGCATATAGAGCTTACGGTCGAATCGAATCGACACGAAGTACTCCCTTCGTTTTAGAGTATAAGTAATTTAATCTTTTTATAGAATTTATTTAAGTTTGATTAAGTTTGTAGAAAAATACACTGACAATTTTAATACATACAAACATATTATCAAATATATTTAATGTTAAATTTATTAGTACTAATTTCGTGTAATTTCGTGTTGTAGACGTTGCTAACTTTTTCTATAAACTTAATCAAACATAAAAAAAACTTTGATAAAAAAAGTCAAATAATTTATAATATAAAATAGAGGGAGTAATTATTACAGTGGGCGAAGAGCCAAGCTGATCAGCTTTTCGCTTGCTATCTTAACGAGAGTGAGCTTATGAGCTTCTGTCCCCTTTTCTTAATATATATAACACCATTAACTTTTAAGATCTTTTGATCATTCGTTTTATTAAGAAAATATATAATTATTATTTATTTTATTATGACTTGATTTATCATCAAATATTGTTTAAGCATGTTTTATATTTTTATATTTACATAAAATTTTTGAATAAAACAAATGGTGAAATCTTTATTAAAAAATTAACTGTGTTATATATTAAGAAATAGAGGTAATACTTATTTAGCTCGTTAGTACAGAAGGTCACTATAGTGTTTTCAACTGTACTACTTAGTTCTTTGTTTACTTTCAAAGTAATGTTGTTACTTATTATGTTACGTATGATAAACTGGTAAATTCAAAATTATAAATTTATATAAATGAGATAAGTCTGTTAACAAGCTTAATGGACTAGCTCGTGAACCGAGATAATTTACCCTTTCAGCTTGTTAAGACTAATGAGCATAGCTGAACTGGCTCGTTAAGATTAAATGGCACGAGCCAAACCTAGGGTTTTCCTAACCACCGGTAACTGTGCTTACTGTAGAGTACGGTAAAATATTGGTACGGTTTGATAAAATTTATTCAAATTCAATTTTTTGAAAAAAGGAGATAAAACATAGAAGTATTACAGTATTATAGTAGTTTTTCTGTTGTTGTTAAATGTGACGTTGTGTTTTCTCTTCAAGTGATTTTGTTCTTTCGCATGTTTATATCATGCCTTACCATGCGGTTACAGTGACCTTACCGTATAAATAAAAAATATATGAATTTAAATTTTTGAGATAAATTCACGCAGTTTTTGACTGTTACCGTATATTTACCGTAATAACCGTCGGGTGGTAATAACCTCTGTGCAGACGATAGGGGAAACCTGGCAGAACCTCAAAGGTTTGATCTGGCCCATTATACAACCCAATTAAGGACACACAGTTACTCAATTAGGGCTTGTTTGGTACACTCCAACTTCTAAATTTGGTTCAAGGAGTTTATTCTAGAGTGAAGTTGTGAAGTTGTCTAAACCCAGCTCCACCTCTCTAATTTATTTTGTAAGAGTGCTCTATCTAGCTCCGCTCTTATTTTTAGTGGAGCTAAAACTGTTTGGCTGAGTTCCAACGCTAGAAGAGGTGGAGCAGCTGTATCAAACATGCCCTTAGTCGTATGATATTTTCTGCCTAATTACAAATCATGTGCTAGCTACCTGCAAACCTGCTTGGTGCCTGAATGCTGACCTGATTGTGTACGATTATTAATCAATGTGGGTTATGGTAGATATAAATTGTATAGTACTCCCTAAGTAAAAAGAAAATCAACCTCATATTAGTAAAAAATATAGACATATTTTATATTTAGATTTATTGTATTAGAATGTGTCATATTTTGGTACGAGGTTAGTTTTTGA